CCCACCACTGCACCCAGTATTCACTGGTTAACTGGTCACCATTAACTCCACACACACTCTCTCACTGGTACATTTTCATCTTTAAATCACTTCCTGGTCTGCTGCCTTCATACATCTCCTCCTACATGTCTCTGTGTGAGTGCAGCTACAGCGTGCGCTCTCAGGACATCATTACCTGCAGTGTTCCCTCAGTGAGGACTGAACTGGACAAAAGGACCTTCTCCTACTCCGCTCCTGTTTCCTGGAACTCCTTTCAAAAAGATTTGAAGGTCTCAGCCTTGACCTCTTTAAATGACTTCAAACATCTGATAAGTTCGTGGGGAAAAGTTAAACCAATGCAGACATGTTCCTGTTTGTAGCATTTTATGTTGCTTTATAAAGTAGCTATTTTTAATTCTTTTTTAACATAATTTTCTTCCATTTACTTTTCATTTATATTGGGGGCGGCTGTGGCTGAGTGGTTAGAGCAGTCGTCCTCCAATGCAAGAGTTGGGGGTTTGACTCCACCAGCAGTCACGTGCCGAAGTGTCCCTGGGCAAGACACTGAACCCCTCGTTGCCTCTGATGTGTGTCCCATCAGTGTATGAATGTGATAAATCTCTGATTAGTCTCTTTAGAATGATTTGTTCAATTAGCTTCATAGAAATCTAGTATAGAGCTGTATGAATGGGTAAATGAGGCACAGATTGTTGTAAAGAGCTTTGAGTATTTCAATAAGATAGAAATGTGATATATAAGTACAGTCCATTTACCATTCATATGCTTTTTTATGATTGTCTTCTGTTGTCTGTACCTCATCTGTGTTCTTTGTTTAAAACAGTTCTCTCTTGTAAATGAGTCCTTGAGGCTCAATGAGACTAATCTGTATAAATAAAGATTGAATGAATAAACATAGAAACAAGTTTTAGTGACTGACCGGAGCATCTAAACTTGTTACTCTTGATCTGTGCAATGCGTTTGTTGGCGAGGCGGCGAGGGCTGGCACATCGTGCTCCACTCGTCTCGATGGGGTTTGAACGAAGGAAGTCCGACAGCCATTTCACGTTACAGTCACAAACAAAGGGGTTCTGGGCCAGGTGGCTGAGGAAAAATCACATTAGAGGCAGATCAGTCAGATAAGATAGAATGGAATGACGCAGAACTTAAAACAGGTTTTGTGAGTTTGTTTTCTCACAGTGTCTGGATGCTGTGCAGAGAACTGAAGGTGCCTTTAGCCAGACTCTGGATCTTGTTGTCGTAGAGTGATAGGAGAGCCAGGTTCTCCAAGTCTTTAAATACTGTGGCACGAATACAGTGGATCCTGTTTGCGTTCAGTAACCTGCAAGATGTTGGAAGACAAATATTAGTAGGGAGCACTGTCCAAAAGCCCCATTCAGAGTTTACTGATGAAGATTCAGAAGACAGAATCACTGTCACAAGTATGGGCTTAAAATAAAAATATGAAATTTGAAAATGAATAGTACAACGTTAAGATGATAAATTATTTTAACTAAATAAAGTTTGCTTCATCAAAAGACTTAAAAAGTTGTAGCGACAGATAAGGAGAGAAAAGTTGCCCAAAAAGTTATTTCATCCCAACTTTTGTGTTTCTTTTGCCTGAAGTCTCTGCTGCAGCATCATTTTTAATTAACTCAATAAAAAACTTTAATGTGGAAAGTATTGCAAGTTTAACTAGGATTATTTGACAAAGTTCTGAAGGGTACCAAGGCAGTTACTGTCTGAAACCTCTATATATCAACTTATATCTCTGAAGTTCAGCAGTCATTTAGGATTTAGTTCTTAAATAATCTAATCTGGCAAAATACATTGGAGTAGAGACTGTATCAAAAGAGTAAACTGAACCAAGAAAAGAAGAATGATTAAAGCTGTTGCCAGTGGTAACCCTACACCTGCGTCTCACCCTCCCTGGCAGGATTTCTCAAAAGACAGGCAGGCAGAAACAAAGTGCAGAAAGTAATTCTCAGACAGAAAAATCACTGTGCAAAAAAAGTTGTTTTATTGTGAAATTTTTCTTAACCATAATTGGCAACTGGTCACTGCACATGTAATTTTCATGTTTCTACAGTGTTTTAAAAAAGAGATGTGATAAGTTCAAGCGTCTTCAATTCCAGTTTTGAAATGAAATTTCTGCTCACAGATACAGTGAAAGGCAATGTTTGAGTGTGCCATATTCCTCAATTGTGGAGATTTAAGAGAAGTCCTGCAGCATTGAGATGCATTGGGTGAAGATAAACAAAATGACTTTTGTTCTCATGCATACACTGTAAAAAAAATAAAAAATAAAAAAGGTAAAGTCAAACCACCAAAGGGGTCACATGAATCAGCTGGAGTCAAAGCCTTCTGATCTTAGGGGTATGGCAAATTCAGTGGTTCTAGGGTTATTGGTTTTAGTGTTACAGCGTCAAAACTGTTCAAGAAATCAAAATGTCAGTATATAAACTTCAGCACTTGCTCTTGCCGAGATCGGACGCTTTCCCATCCCCTCCCTCTCCAGTTTGCTTTGCTGCTCTGTCTGTCTGTGAAACTGCTTCTGAGCCTCTCTTCGTATCTTCTGAACCATAATTATGGGCTTGTTTTGATCAGTTGGTCCCTCAACTCAATTTACAACATTTCTTAGAAGAGAAGACAGGCTTTAGGCAAGTCGATTTGCCCTGTTGGCACGCAGCTGGATATCTCATCGACTGGAAGACTTGATGATGTGTCTATCTCTGCTGCCATCTGTGGATTTTAAGGACGCATTTACAAAGTATAATTGGATTTACGATAACTGGTTCCTGCTTTTTGGATTCGGCTGGTTGTTGGTTTTATCAATCAATCAAGGAAGTCGTCGGCAGCAAATTTGGACCCGATCACGCTGCTTGCCTTTATGATGGCTTGGTTCGTGCCTCGAGTACCCAGACTCAAATGCTTTGGGCAGAATGGATCAGATCTTGGGGATTTTACTCAGTCACGTTCCATCAGTGTGGCCATGTAATTTGGACATTTTGGAACCGAGTTGACCAACACAGACTCAAGGTAGATGTCATTAAGTTCTGCCTGTCTCCAAAACAACTGTGTGTTTATCTAAATTTGGCTCCCTTGGCTGGCCTTGAAGGTCATCTTATCTGAATTCACCTGGAGAACATGTGATCTGACGCTCACCACCCCCTCCCTGAGGAATTTCCACCTGATAACCAGATGAAACCAGCTGAATGAACGTCATTTCAGGACTCTTGGATTCTCATAGTCATTGTTCTTGGCCATTCCTGGACATACCTCGAGAATGTTTACAGATCTCACCGGAGGGAACTGGCTACTTATTACATCCTTATCAGAACTCTTACAGTGCCATCAAAAGCATCTATGAACATTGCTGACTGGTCTCGTCTCGCCCCTCTGCAGATTGTCTACGTCACTATGTGCTTGTTTGTGCGCAGTGTTTTTTAATATCAGTTTTTCTTCTCAGGCAGGAAAAAAAGTCTGATAGGAATTTTTTCACCTCCAGTTCCTACATGTGTCCAGTTTCACTACTTTTTGTCTAAACAGATCTCACTTGTAAATGAGTCTTCTAGGCTCAGTGTGACTTATCTGTCTAAATAAAGGTTGAATGGAAAAAAAAATTCTACTTTCTGTTACTTGTTTGGAATTACTCACTTTATTTACCAGCATCCTATTTTGTATGCAAACATTTTTTTTAAGATATAAATATTTTTTTGGAACAATTTTGTTTGTGTCTTACAGTGTACTTCCAAAAGTCATGGCACACTAATCCCAACAAAGTTTTATATTTTGATGTTTGCTGTTTTATACACCTTAGTCCTGAAGTTTCTACTGTATAAATGATTCTGGTACAACTTCCTGTCAGGCAGGAAGTAGCAGTAAGCATTTCTTAACTATGGTAGCAGAGCATGGACGGCAGTTTACTTGAAAGGAATTTGTATTCAGTTCAGCAGATAAAATTCTGTTTTTGTTTTGTTTACATTTATTTAACAACCATAAAGTTTACTAAAATAGCCGTGCTGCATTCAGGTACCTGTTGTGTTCAGGGCTGCAGAACAACCAGACCAAACTAAATCTGTGGCTACAACAACAGAGTTTGAACACGGACCAAAACAAAGAGTTCCTGTGAAAAGAGGTTTAGTTTCATCTCCTACCTACAGTTGAGGAATTAAGAAGAACGTGTCTGAACAATGTGAACTTGAAGAGACCACCCAAAACTCTGCATGTGAGCTCATTTCACTTTGTTGACAAACGGCCGACGGAGGAAAACCTGCATCCTACTTTGTGTCTGGACGACAATAAACCACCGGAGAAGAGACGCCGGATCCTCAGAAGGATTGAAAACAGTGACGAGAACATCAGGGATGATTTCAGGTGTATGGAGGTCACAGCTTTATATTTGTTCATCTTCAGTTTTATGATTTTCTCTGTAATTAACCCAAGATCAGTGATGGAGGACTTTAGGGTTTTGTCCGGCTCTGTGTCTGATTTAAAGTCAATAAGATTGTGTCCCACCTCTTTTAACAAATCTCCATCGACCTTATTACTGTGGAGACACTGATACACATCAGAGCTTCTCAGTTTGTTTATTGCTTCACCATCTGAAGAACAGAGTCAACGAAGTAGCTAAATATGCTAGTAGATGTAGCTAAATATGCTAGTAGATGTAGCTAAATATGCTAGTAGAAGTAGCTAAATATGCTAGTAGATGTAGCTAAATATGCTAGTAGAAGTAGCTAAATATGCTATTAGATGTAGCTAAATATACTAGTAGATGTAGCTAAATATGCTAGTAGATGTAGCTAAATATGCTAGTAGATGTAGCTAAATATGCTAGTAGATGTAGCTAAATATGCTAGTAGATGTAGCTAAATATACTAGTAGATGAAGCTAAATATACTAGTAGATGTAGCTAAATATGCTAGTAGATGAAGCTAAATATGCTAGTAGATGTAGCTAAATATGCTAGTAGATGTAGCTAAATATGCTAGTAGATGTAGCTAAATATGCTAGTAGATGTAGCTAAATAGTAGATGTAGCTAAATATGCTAGTAGATGTAGCTAATTATGCTTCTTCAGCACGTCCTCCAACCCTCGTCTGCAGCAGTATGATCATACTGTGCTGTTTGAGCTCTGACAGGTGGTGTCCCTACATGTTTAAATTAAATCCACAATTCTCAGAGAAACTACATTAGCTCGTACTGTTCACACAGAAACAAACACCGGTTCTGGTCCACACCAGAAGTTACACTCATAATTCACGCAAGGCATCATGGGGGTTTAGAATTAGCTAAATACTTTATCCAAAGCAGTGGTAGGAGTTCCATTTAAACATTGTGAAATAAAAATAATTAAAATGGGTTATTAGAAAAAGGTGCTTCAGTGATTATTCTTTGGCACACTTAATCATTTCACTGCAAACCAAATTTAGGTTGGACTCACAGAAGCCAAGATTCAACTTGTCGGCTGGATTCTTAGATAGAGAACTTTACTAATCGGCTTTTCTATGTATGTGAATGTTCCTGTAAAGTTCCCTGAGACAACTTTGTTGTGATTTGGAGCTATAGAAATAAACTGAATTGAATTGAACTCACAGCAGCTCCAGAGAGACCAGACCATCAAAAACTCCACTGGGCAGCTCAGTGATCTTATTCCCATACAGAACCCTGCAGACAAGAAAGCAGATAACCCCTGGTTGTTTCGGTCATTGTTTAATTTGTTCATTTCTTTTAACTCTGAATCAAGTCCACACAAACACAGTTTCAAGCACAAGCAATAAAAAGGAGTGAACACAGATTCATATCGCTTTAGGCAGAGAACAAATTAACACTTACACACTGACGTCTGCAGATCACACAGCAGAGATTGTTAGATAATTCAGAACTATTTTCTTTTTACACAAAACACTTTGCAATTATTGATAGGATCAGATGCCCAGGCACATACGATGAGAAGATGGGAACAAAGGAAAGAGGAAATAAGGCAATATACGAGGACATGTTGATGGAAGTCCTCAGCACTCACAGTGAGTTCAGGGCTCGGAGTCCGTGGAACGCATCAGGAGCGATCTCAGAGATCTGGTTGTTACTCAGGTCTCTGCAAACACAACAAAAATGAAGATCAGAAACCTAATTCAGGTCCTATGGATGGATAAAAAAAAAACGTGTTGAAACGTTTCTCCTTTAATCCAAAAGACTTCATCAGTGTGAGGAACTGCAATAAGCTCAGTCTTATAAATAGTCCCTTTTCATAGTGAATCAACCAGTAGTAAGAAGGGGCTATTTATAAGACTGGGCTTATTGCAGCTCCTCAGACTGATGAAGTCTTTTAGAGTTTCAACTAGTTTTTTTTTTTAGTACGCCCAGAGGACCTGACTCAACTTTGTTAGATCTTTCCACCTGGATTATTGAGCATGCATCAGGATATACAATACATGTAAGGTCAGAAATGTTTTTAATGAGATTTTCAGCTACTATTGTAAATATTTATTCACTTTGTAATGTTACTTCACAACAAATGTGCATCAAGTTTCTTTCTATGTGCTGTATTATTCTGTGCTCAACTTGTGGAATGCCACAAGGCTCAGTTCTGGGTCCACTTTTGTTTACCTTTTATATTATCCCACGTGACAGCATTATTCAATCCTTTTCTGACATTTCCTATCACATTTATGCTGATGACATTCAATTGTATTTTTTGTTTAGACCACAGCAGCTGGACAAGTTGGCCATTTTTGTCCATTGTTTGCCCCATATCAGTGACTGGCTCACCAATAACGTCTTGGTTTTAAACACCAGTAGGTGGCCAGTGGCCCCCAGTCTGTGGAGACAGGGCCTTTCAGTCAGTGGCCCCCAGACTGTGGGGACGGGGCCTTTCAGCCAGTGGCCCCCAGACTGTGGAGACGGGGCCT